GCAACATAAAATGTCGCCGGAAGACTTGCACAAGCGCTGGAAAGTGTATGGCACCCGGGACTTACAAGAGTGCTCCTTTCGCTCATCCGAATTTATTTGGCCAATGCCCGTCAAACTCACACAGAGGCTTGACTGCTTCACATCTGATTTGCATGGGCTGAACAAGCTGCTGGAAAGGCCCCTTCAAGTACTAGCCGCCAGGGCTTATGGAAGTGGAAATGATTGAGAGTTGAGAGTTTAGGGGTTTAGGGTTGAGGGTTAAGGTTTAGAGTTTAGGGGTTTAAGGTTTGGGGTTTAAGGTTAAGGGTTCAGGTTTAGGGTTTAGGTAAAGTTTAGGGGTTTAAGGTTTGGGGTTCAGGGCCCAGGGTTAAGGTCTAGGTCTAAGGGTTCAAGTCAAGGTTTGGAGTTTAGGGTTAAGGTTTAGGGTTTTAAGGATGTAAGGTTTGGGGTTTATAGGGTTTAGTTAAGGATCTTAGGGTTTAAATGGATCAACTTGCCAATCAATTCCGCTCCACGGCTTCACATTTTTGTCAGTCTTTGACGCATCCAGTGAGTCCATCAGTGTCCGGCAGAGGGCACTCGGCACGGCCTGGCACAGGCAAAACATGTCTGAACACCCATTGCGTAATGTTCATGAGCAGTGAGCGCTGTCTGTCAAGTTTGCTGCAGAAACAAGCTGAAGCTGATCCCAGATTTTTTGGCAATAGAATCTTCTGAAAATCAAGCGGCAGGCTGTGGCAGGTCTTTGCACCGACCCCGTTTAAACTACATCCTCGGAGATTCTTCGAATCGCCAAGCTCCCAAAGGGTGCACTGCTGCGCGAAGCCTACAAGCATTGAACATAGAAGATGATTGTTGGACACATTTTCGTTATAGACATGACTCACATGAGCATCATCTCGGCAAAACGGAATGTTCGTCCTTACGAACATTGACTGAGCTCAATGAGCTCAACTCACTGAGAACTACTGGAACCATCAGGCCCCCACAGCATCCTCCCACCGCGCGAGGAGTTTGCAATTATTCTCGGCATATGTTTTGTGAACAGTGAGAAGCATTTCCAAGTTCTTCTTAGCCAACTGGGACACATCTTTCACAGACATCCGAAGGCCTATGCTGACTTTGTTGTTCAGGGCACGTTCGCACAAAATGACACCCGCTGGCAAAAACTACACGGAGTTCTCCGGCACGACTCCCTTGTAGAAGATTTTGGAACTGCCATCTGCCTTGCCCTTCTTCAGCAAGTCCTGAATCCATGGCTCATCCAGGCGACTGGACCACAGCTTTTCTCCCAAGACAGTGGTGACGATTCTTTCATTTGAAAAGCGATGGTTCTGGGTCGGATCCAGGATCGCCCACAACTCTGCAGCAGAGCAAACGACAACCTCCCTTTCCCCTTTCATGGAGTACCTGACGCTGGACATGCCCAAGAACTCAGTCCCACTGAACTTCATGGTGGATGTGAACCCGTACGCGAACACCTCGCTCAAAGACACATTTGGGGATTCTCCTGAGGAAGGGAAAGCAGTGCATCTACTTGAGCAACAGCTCATCATCGCTTCCTTAATCTTGCCCATGCCATCGATCTTCACCTGGCTTTGCGCCCGCTGCTTCTCCTTCGCTTGCTTGCTCATGGGAAACTGGGTCTCGAAGATCTGGAGGAAGCCCTTGAGGCCGGAAACGGACTCCACTTCCGCTTGCATGGCGCCCGCATTCTTGAGCAAGTAGACGCCGCCTTCATGAAGGCGCCCACCTGCTTTCAGCTGCGCCTTCAAGGCCTCAACGGAGTCGAAGACGGGGATCTCGTGCATCATGTCCTTGACAATGCCGGCCTCCATGAACATACATGGCAAGTCACACTGCTGCCCCTTAGCATTCTTGATCTGCTTCTGGAGTTCTTTCTCTGCCTTCTTTTTCTGCGCCTCATCCTGCTTTCTCTGCTTCTCGGCCTGGCTCAGAAGCTTCTTCTTCTTTTGATCCATGGCTTTGGCAAGGTCAGACGTCGCGCGAGCCAAGGCGGTGAGCAACCTCTTAAAAGAGGCCATCACCTCCTTCAAGTCTTTGTGCACAAGCTTGATGTCGTCTTCGGTAGCTGCCCTTTTGACTGATTTTGACAGACGATCGAACTCACTGCTCAGGTTCTGCAACCACTCAGCCCCGTCGATGACAGCAATACCGTCTTCCTGGTGCTTCTTGACGCGATCGAAAAGCTTCTGCGGCGCATCACTATCCTCAGAAACCACCAGCTTTACAAGCTCAGATCGGTTCTCGACAGTCTGGACGTAGCCTGCGAAGAAGTC